CCAGTAGTTCCCAATATTTTAAGCTAACAGACACTCTGATCCCATCCCCCACCATTCTTTCCTTTACCAAGTCTGCTTTAGCTTCACTAGCCTTCTGGATATTTCTTCAACATACTTGGCATGTGTTATGAACAGAATGTTGTGTCTCCCCAAATTCATGTGTTGAAGCCCTTTTCTCCAGTGTGATGATATGTGAAGATGATGCCTTTGGGAGGTAATTAGGGTTAGATGAGGGACTAAGGGTGGAGCTTTCATAATGGGATTGGTACCTTTATATAAAAGGAGACACCAGAGAACTTGCTTTCTCTTTCTCCCCTCCATATGCATGCACTAAGAAGTTAAGTGAGCACATTGAGATGACAGCCACCTATAAGCCAAGAGACCAGGCCTTAGAACAAAACCGACCATGCTGGCACCTTGACCTTGGACTTCCAAGCTTTCAGAACTGTGAGAAACAAATTTCTGTTAAGCCACCCAGTTGATGGTATTCTGTTATGGCAGCCTGAACTAAGTAATACAGAATGGTCCCATTTCATGGCTTTTTACTCTTGCCACTCTCCTACCTTGAATACTCCTCTCCCATATACTTCATTGAGCATTTTCTTACCTCCTTCAGGCTTTACTCAATGTTCCTTTAGTAAAGTCTTCTCTGACCACTCTATTAAAAATTGCAACCCCTTACCCTGCCCTGCCTGACTGCATTGTATTTAGAGCCATTTAACAAGCTATGTATATATATATATCATACTGATTTTTTTTTATTCCCAGTTGAATGTTATATCCGTGACAGCTAGGATTTTTACTCTTTGTACCTGCTAGTGTAGTCCCAGTAACTAAATTGGTGATAGCACAAAAATGAAAAGGCAGAGTTATCTTTAAAGAGATGTTACTATTTGTTTATTTTTTCTTTTTTTAAATTTTACTTCAAGTTCTGGGATACGTGTGCAGAACGTGCAGGTTTGTTACATAAGTATACATTTGCCATAGTGGTTTGCTGCACTTATTTATTTATTTTTTTAAGATAGTAAGGCTGACTTTAATGGAGGAGGCATGGCAGCAGGTAAAGGAACCACTACAATGGGGTCTTGTAGTGTGGGAGAGAGCTTGGACTCAACTCCTTTAAAGAGATTTAGAATGAAGAAACTATGGCTCAGAGTGATCCTTAGATTTGTGTAAGTTCTTATAAGTAACAGTCATGGAATTGCAATAAAAAGCTCTGTAAGTCCATGTCTGATTCTCCCTGCCTCATAGGATGCAGCTCTTCTAACTTCATTACATTCTAATCTTGAAGTGTAGACCATCTCTCAGGGTTGGTGAAATCAAAAAGGGTAAGCATGCCATGATCCTTCTAGAATTCAAAACTTGGATTCATACCTGGAATTCAATATAGTACCATTTTCAAATAAATCTCCAACTAGAATTATGGCTTCATTTGTTTATTCCTGGCAACAATTTCTTTAGCTGGTGACTAAAGCAAATTTTTCTGAAAAGCCCAAATCCACCATATACCAGGGATCTGCCTCTCATTAGTTTTGAATATATGTAATTTTTTTTCAAACACAATGGCTTCTCAAGAGATCTGGATTGATTAAAGGCGGCAGACTTGGTTGTCTGTTTCCTGTGAGACAACATTAGAGATAATACTGAAATATTAACTATGCAGTTGTAGAGGTAATTAACATGAAATTAAAATACTTTGCAAACAGTTTACAGATAATAAAAAGGACATTTTGTGTGCATCTGGGTAATTATTATATTACTCTCATATTTATAAATGGTTTTTCAAATAGATTATTTTTAAGAAGTTAACAAAGCACCGTAAGTATATGTGCCAAATCGAATAGAACAAAATTTTTACGATGTTCCCCCACCTCAGTTCTGCTCCATATAGGCGATTTTAAGGTCTTTTGTAAGTTGAATATAAATTGCCTTCATCGCTGCTTCTGTGGGTTCTTCACATCTTTCACTCCAATGATGTCCAACTTATACTGCAAGATGGTTAATAGCTACATTCTGTTTTGCAAAAACAAAGGAAAAAATGTCTACCATGTGGCCAGTGTAAGAATCTAGATTCTGCTATCCAGCTGGCATGAAGCCATCTGCCCTGTGTGTAAAATTGCAATAATCTACATTTCTTACATTGTTAAGAGTTTGAGGTATGTGAAAAAGGTAAATTTTATGGCTGAGAAAATTGGATAGGGTTGACATATGTAACTTACATCTAGGGCTGGCACTACACATTTATTTTTTAATTCTAGAAAAAGATGTAGTATATAATAATATGTATCAACCGCTTGGGTGATGTTGACTGAATTAATTATTGTGAGCAATTACTGGTAAATTTCATTAAATGCCCATGTTAAACTTTAGCTGCACATTTTAGTAAACTAAAAGACCAACTTGATGAATATATTAATTGTTCATTTGAGAACAGTGTATTTCCATATAGCTAGGTGATACAAATGTTAAGAAAGCTGTCTGCAATTAATTCTTCAAACTGTAAGTGGAAATAACTGCTGCATGGGCATAAAATGACATGAAAGCTTAATGGGTTGTTCACTTGATATTTTTAACACTTAAAATTTCAATCCTTACCTGGAATTTGTCTTGCCATCCTGAGCAGGTGAGTACCAAATTAAAATCACAAGTGCCTTTATTTGTCCATGAAAACAGTCTCTTCAGTTGGTGACTGTCACAACATTCATAGTCCATTTGGAACCCAAATTCATCATCCATCAATGTTTAGTTTATTCTGGGGTTTGAATAGACAGGACTTTATCAAAGTTACTCACTAGAGATCCATCACTTGCTCTGTCAGAAGATACCAAAGATTCATGGAGACTGGACTGGGTGGATGTTTTCCCATGAGATGATACTAGACGTGAAATGCCAAAATAAGTGATAGCCAAAGTGAGCTAGCATATACTTTCTCAAAGTAACCAAAACTGGGCCAAAACCCTTACTGGTTGGTTTCCAGAGATCACTTGGCCTCTCCCATACCATGGACATTTATTCCTCATCATTCTTCTTTTACGATTTGCTCCCTGCCTTTTTACCACTCTCATTAAGTTTGTATCTTCTAGATTACAATGATTTCACCTACAGATGACTATGCAATATCATCCTGCAACAGCAACTTCCATTTACATGGGGCCTCTTGATGGAATCTGGTCCCCTGCCCTGGCCCATAAACAAGTTTTTCATGACCCTTCATTTCCTTCATGACAGATGTAGTCAGACAGACTGGATGCTCCCCTTCACTGTGCTGTTTTCCCTTTCTAGAGACCCTAATAGGTAGCAGGTGGACACAAGCATGGGGGTAAACAAAAAAAAAAATGGTCAAAGATTTGACCAAGATATTTATTAAGGGAACATAAGGAGAGCAAAGACCACCTGGTGGTGGCCATCAAGCAGACCATGCAGAGGTAAAACTCCTTCTCCGAGGAATGTAGAATTAATTAGATGTCTCTGTTATCTAAAGCTGGCATCTGGTTCCTGGCTTCTTTCCCAAAAAATTATACGTAACAAACATTTCCATACAAACATATCTGAATGCACACATGTCAAAATTCATTGTGCAACCCTTGCTGACATCAAGGCACCACAATGTCTACAAATGTAATCATTTATGACCTAGGTGGCTAACATGGGCCAAGTTACCCTTAAGCTCTCTCTTCAAGGTCCATAAATGCTCCTAAGGAAAAATCCACTGTGGTACGCTCTGTGCTCTTTTGCTGAAGTGCCCCGCTGCAATCTGCTGCAGTGTTCTTTCTATCTAATACAACTTACCCTTTCAAACCTATACTGTTGTGGGTAAATTCTTCTTTCTACCCCCGAGCTTACCTTCCATTGCCAGGGCTCTGACACCTTGTGAGACAAATAAAAGAAGTTTTATCAAAAAAAGCTTGTGAATCAATCACAGCGTTACGCAAATTGGCCATAAAAGCTGCAAGAAAAATTCGAAGAATGCTTTTTTGATATTGGTCAATTTAGAGTTGATTTTCAGTCTATGCAATACTCCTTTGAATTCAGTGTTAATAATACCAAGTTAACACCCCAGTGAGTTTACTTACTTAACATGGATGAAACTAGTTTTGAATCTTATATGCTTTTACTTCAAAGTTAGATCAATTCTTTAAAATGATAAACAAATTTTGCCAATATAAATGTCCATAGTAAAGAAAACTTTTTTTTTTGGGGGGGGGGGTAATTGATTCAACTATTGCAACATTCTAAAGTATATTTGGAATAACTTGGATATGTGAAACATCTTCAACTGTAAACTTGATGAAATCCAGTAAATTGAAAAGCTAGTCTCCTGATTGACATGTATGTGTAAAATACACACTAAATTTCAAAACTTAGTGCAATAAAAGAATGTAAAATCCCTCGAATTTTTGTTTTTGTGACGGTCTCATTCTGTCACCCAGGCTGGAATGCAGTGGTGCAATCTCAGCTCACTGCAACCTACACCCCCAGGGTTCAAGCAATTCTTGTGCCTCAGCCTCCCAAGTAGCTGGAATTACAGGAATGCGCCACCACATCCAGCTAATTTTTGTATTTTTAGTAGAGATGGGGTTTTGCCATGTTGTCTAGGCTGGTCTCAAACTCCTGACCTCAAGTGATCCTCTTTGCTTTGTCTACCAAAGTGCTGGGATTACAGGGATGAACCAGTGTGCCTTACCTTAACAATTTTTTTTACTGGTTTGGTGTTGAAATATTTGAGACATATTGAGTCAAATAAAATATATTTTTAAAATTAATTTTATCAATTTTTTTCGTTTTTAAAATGGGTACTAGAAAGTTTTCAATTACACATGTGGTTCACATAATAGCACTATAGTTCTATTGAGCAGCTGTTTTAGATTAGTTCATTGTTAGCTCCACACAAAACACGAACTCTTTTGAAAAGACAATTGGCTAATTTAAGTTGATTCCTTTGAAAATCCAATTTTCTCCTGTTACAAAGGGGAGCTAATTAAATAAATAAAGCTGATTTCAAACTGAGGCTCCTTTATTTATTAGTTATATATTTTGTCATTTATTAACATCTTCAGTATAAATGAGGGCAATAAGTTTATTTCGTAGGAATGTTTTTGAGGATCAATCTAAGTAAAGCAGATAGATAATGTACTTAGCACAGTGCTGGGTACATAGCCCCACATCTGCGGGTAATGATTAAAACTGGAAATCAATGCTGGGCATGGTGGCTCATGCCTGTAATCTCACTGCTTTTGGAGGTCAGGACAGGATAGCTAGAGCAGGAGTTCAAGGCTGCAGTGAGCTACGATCATCCCATTGCATTCCAGCCTAGGTGACAGAATGAGACTCCAAATCTAAAAAAAATTAAAATAAAAATTAAACTGTAAATCAGTGAGGAACTAAACTAAAAAGTGATCAAAAAAAGAAGAAAGAATGGATTCTTAGAATGTTCAAATGGAGACCGGATGTCAGGGTGGACAGCAGAGGGCAACAGAGGGAGGGATAAGAATGGGAAAAGTCCCAAGTTTCTGCCTTTCAGGTAACAAAAGAGAAAGATTAAATCCGTGGGAAAATTATTAATTCAATTTTAAACATGGTGAGCAAATAAATTTTAAAGGAGATAATATTAGATAGGAAATCCAGGTTTGGCGCTAAGGAGATTGGTCTGAATTGTCAACAGAGGCTTGGAGTCCATAGGTAAGATGTGAAGCCGTAGAAAGGTGTATGAGTACCCAGGGAATATGTTAAGAAGCCATATAATAAAGGGAGGCAGAGCCTACAATCCTAGAACTTTGGTAGGCCAAGGTGGGCAGATCACCTGAGGTCCGGAGTTCGAGACCAGCCTGGCCCACATGATGAAATCCCGTTTCTACTAAAAATATATACTGCATATTTACCCCCAGGCTGTTCTGAACAGGGCCTTTAGTCGGAAGCCAGGGCTTATCTCCCGGCTGCTAGTGTCACTTGTGATGGGCACAACACTGCAAGAAGCGGGGGACTCCCGGCAACTTGGCGACCTGCTGTTAGAGATTTGGCTTTTCTTGCCGGCGTGACCCCACTGCCTGCGGACTCCACGCCCGCCGCCAGGTAGCCGAGCAGGAACCCACCCGCTCGGCGTGGGCAACTTGACGCAGTTGGCTACGGGAACAGCAGGACGCCGCGAGCTTTGCCCGACCACCTAGCTCTCAGCATCTGAGCTTGGTAAACCCTCACTTAGAACTTCAGCGATGAAGTTAAATCGTAGCTAGTAAGACTACAACGCGCCACACTAGGGCTGCATTGAATGCTTTCGGGATTGCAGGTAGAGGCATGCTCCTACTGGGTGCTGCGACCTCCCATTTCCTGCGGTCTAGCAGGCCCTGCACCCACAAGATCCGCCCTCTGACGCGTCACGCTCACCCCAAAGGCCGGCGGGAAGTCACCTAAGCCCTGGTTTACAGGGAAGCCATTCGATAGGTGCTAAAGGCCCAACGACACGGCTGCTTAGAAGCCCGAGACCAGTTTTAACACTTAGGCTTTGTAGGAACACTTCTAAACAAACAGAGTCCGCAGTCTGTATTTTAGGTGCACTGAAGTGGGAAGTCACTGCTGCGTTGCGCGGCACCTCCCAGGGTCGTTCCTAAGCACACGCTGAGTCCCCTCCCTGAGGTCTAGTCCTCCCCGCGCCCGCCAAGGCTAATCCCGAGCACTTGCTCCGGCCGGCAATGTCCCACTCCCGGTATCCGGAACGCTCTATCTAAAGGGCTGATATTTACCCAGCATCTAGAAGTGTTAACAGCTCTTTCTGTGACAGTTTGGGGGCCCTGAAAAGGGCCTTTGGAATCTAGAAAGAAGCTGTGGGGACACAACTCAGCCGCCGAAGCCATAAAGGGTGCGGCCCTGGCGTTTCAGCGCGTACACCACATCCATGGCCGTGACCGTCTTGCGCTTGGCGTGCTCCGTGTAAGTCACTGCGTCGCGGATCACATTCTCCAGGAATACTTTGAGGACTCCGCGGGTCTCTTCGTAGATGAGACCAGAGATGCGCTTGACGCCCCCACGTCGAGCGAGGCGGCGAATCGCCGGCTTCGTAATACCTTGGATGTTGTCCCTCAGCACCTTCCGGTGGCGCTTGGCGCCTCCCTTACCCAGCCCCTTGCCGCCTTTACCTCGACCAGACATACTGAAGTCACAGCTCTGCCTCAGGAGGAAAGCGGGCTGCTCACTATGATTGCCGGTCGCCGACCAGGGCTTATACTGTCTCGGTGCGGACCTGTTTGAAAACTTCAAAAAAGTGGGCGGAGCTCTAGGCCCTACCTCTGGAGACTTGCTGCAGTTACAAGTCCAGGAAGCAATCAGTGAAATCAGCCTGATTTGTAGTTTGCTCTTTTGGGAAAACGTTTTCTGATATTTTTGCCATAAATTTGGAGAAAGATTCATTGTGATACATTTTAAAGTTAAAACAGTATGAGCTAATAGAATTTATATTGCCTTTTCTCAGCCCTTAAATAAAAGCAGGCCAGACCTATGCACGTTCTTTGTCCTTTCCTTACCTCCCTCCAATTATATTTTTTCAAACGGAATTCCTGACTTACTATGAAACTCAATAGAAACCTGAAATGCTTTACATAGGAGATTTCAAAGCAATTACCTACGATTTTTCACACATGGGTCTTTAAAAGACATTGTAGGATAGGACTGTGTATCTATCTATCTAACTATATCTATTTTGTGGCCTTGCAGAGAATTAAAATACTTTGAATTGAAATAAAAAAACTTCTAGCTTCCCGTCTCACACCTCCACTGCACCTCCACTCCTCCCCCATTCCTACCATTCCCCTTTCAGCTGTTTCTGCGAAATTCGCAGGTTTTCCTGCCCTGCAAGAGCCTGTGTGCTTTTCAGCCAAGTAACTGTTCCTATAGTTATTTAGCTGAAAAACTGTAAATGTCTTATGTCATTCAGATCTCAGGTTCTCATCTCACATTTTCTACTTAAAAATTCAAAGTTCTTATAAAATAATGGATGCCACAATCACGGCTTTGAATAATGATTTCTACTGCAAATCCCCTCTGGAGGTTCTGAAGCCCTTCCTTTCTCAAGAGAATCTGAACAAAAATGAAAGTTTCTGTAAGGTGTCACCGCTCTTGGAAAATGTCAGGACCCTGTCTTCCCTAAAGGTTTAACTGCAGCTATTATTTAGAGGATGATTCATAAGTCTTATTAGGATTCTGAACAATGAATTTTAATAAGTGGGGCTCTTTGTTCCTGGTCTTGAAGATAAGCCTTTACAGAAGGAAGGCTTCATGGTAAAATTATATTTCTAAATGCTTACAGTTTACAATTGTTTCAATCCTTGCCCATCTTCATAACCCAAAAGGCATTTCTTTTTCTTTTACTCCGTGATTTTAATACTTAACTCAGAGGAAAGAGGAAAAGTCTATCAGATCCTGAAGACATAATTATTGTAATGGCAAAATAGGTTGACTTATTTATACTTACTTTCTAAGAAATCAAGGCTAGAACATTTTCAAATGAGAAATCTCTTGCTTATAAGAATAAAAGAAAAAAACCGTGTCCAAAATAGTAATACGTTCAAAAACTCTTGAAAAATTCCCTATGGTAAAGGCAAAAATTTAAACTAGTTTACAGAACTCATTCCAGGAACACCTCATTAAAAACTGCGTCAGAGATTTGTATGCCCATTTATTTGGTATATCTAAGAGTTATTGGATACTCAATAACGTATTTAATTTTCAAAACACTTTGATATAGGTACAGGAGTCAAGTAACTTATCAAAGGTTACTGCTCAGTGGTAAAACCAGGATTTAGGCTGGAGAAGTTGGGCTCCAGAAAGACTGTCTAAACTATGACAATAGCTCTGAAGACACTTATTGAGTTATAGGTTAATCATTGTTCTAGGCAGTAATAACATATACATAAATACTTGAAAACGTTATTTCAATGAAGTCAAATCTTTATTCGGATTGTGAGAAGGTAAATTTGTTTTACTTTATATTTAAATGGATCCAAATAAAATGTTGTTTATTTAAGCAAGTGTTCAACATCACCTCACCTGTCGGTGTTAACTGTGTAACTGTGAAAATGTTCAGGTAAAAATAAAATGACCTTGATGAATTAGTAGAAAGTAATTTCTAAATAAAACAAAATAAAACACTTCTCTTTTTTCTGTTTCAAAACTCATGGGTTAGCATAAGAATAAGCTGCCATACTTTAGTCCCTGGGCTCATTTACAAACAGACCCGGGCGGCCTCCAAGTCTTTGCAGAGGACGCTATCCACTGATCCGGGGCGCCCTGACTTGCGGGGAGCAAGCAGAGGCCAAGACTTCGGCCTCGCCAATAAAACCTAGTGGCTCTTTGCAAGCCCATAGCCTCAAAGACAAAAGAAATTTTGACTAGGCGGGTTTGTTCACGTCAGTACAGGAAGCATTCACGTCTGGTCATCACTCTGTCTTCAAAGCCTTACAAGCGAACGATTGGCTGGCTGTGGGAGGCAGGATCTTTCAGGGAGACCAGTGTGGTCTCCACACTGTTGGGTACCTGGAGGCAAGGCGCTTGTATAAGCCCAGGCCAGGCGCAGTGGCTAACGCCTGTAATACCAGCACTTTGGGAGGCCTAGGCAGGCGGATCACCTGAGGTCAGGAGTTCGAGCCCAGCGTGGCCAACATGGCGAAATCCCGTCTGTACTAAAAAGTATAAAAATCAGCCGGGCATGGTGGCGAGCGCCTGTAATCTCAGCTATTACAGAGGCTGAGGCAGGAGAATCGCTTGAACGCGGGAGGCGGAGGTTGCAGTGAACCGAGATCAGCCACTGCACTCCAGCCTGGGCGACAGAGCACGACTCTGTCTCAAAAAAAAAAAAAAAAAAAAAAAAAAAAAAAAGACAACGAACAAACGAAAGAAAGAGCCCATGGACCCTGTCCTAGGCAGGCAGAATTCTGAGGAGAGGTTGTTGTTTCGCCTAAGCGGCGGCGGGCTGCAGACACAGAAACCTACCTGACTAGCATGCTGTATGATATGAGAACGTCCATTTAGCATAGCAGCGTCTCGCTCTGGATTTTTTTTCTGTTCTTAACCATGTTTCCTTATTTTCTAGTAGTTTATTTGCTTGGGAGCGGGCGTGGTCGTGGAAAACCCGTAACCACTAAATTCACCAGACGCAGAGCGGGCTGGCTAAGACATTTATGTGAGCGGCTATGTAAATGAGGATTCGGAGATTGTTCTATTGATTGGAGAGAGCTGGAGGAGCCCGTCTCTCTCCTAGAGCGCTAATTGGGAGAGGAGCCTGCCTGTCATTGGTCACCAGAGCCAATGAGAAGGGGCTGCCGCGCGGCAGCAAAGAGTTTGTCAAGGCAGTGCGGGTGGAGTACGTTGCATTCCGGTACCGGACGCTGTGAGCGGTTTGTCTAGCTTTCTGGAGTTGTAGGCGAGAGGTGATCATGTCCGGTCGCGGAAAACAGGGCGGCAAAGTGCGAGCAAAGGCCAAATCCCGCTCCTCTCGCGCAGGCCTGCAGTTCCCGGTGGGCCGAGTGCACAGACTACTGCGCAAGGGGAACTACGCGGAGCGGGTGGGCGCCGGGGCGCCGGTGTACCTGGCGGCGGTGCTGGAGTACCTGACGGCGGAGATCCTGGAGCTGGCTGGCAACGCCGCGCGTGACAACAAGAAGACCAGGATAATTCCCCGCCACCTGCAGCTCGCCATCCGCAACGACGAGGAGTTAAACAAGCTGCTGGGCAAGGTGACCATCGCTCAGGGAGGCGTCCTGCCCAACATCCAGGCGGTGCTGCTGCCCAAGAAGACGGAGAGTCAGAAGGCAAAGAGCAAGTGACCGTGACGCCGCCCCCGGGGAGCTGGCTCCCCCAGCAAGGGCCCTTTTCATGGCCGTCCCGCAATGCTTTTGAATATGCTGGATGTCATGGAGGGCCGGTGACATCTAGTGGGGAGGAGGGCGGCGAGGGACCCTACGGGAGCCAATAAAGTTGGTGAAAATCGTTTGGTCGAGAGAGCTGTGTAGTCTCGGGGACCTGCCGGATGGCCCCGGGGGGGCGACCGGGAAACCCTTGGAGCAGGTACTGGTGGGTGGGCTCTATTCCCTCTGGGCTGCTTTAGTCCGCAGGTCACCCTTGAGGCATTAGGGTAGGGTGGCCTGGAGGTGGGCAGGGTGGGAGTGCACCTCGCTCTCAGCGGGGCAAAGGGGAGGCAGAGTCGGTGCGGCGAGGCCGCCTCCGGAATTATTTTTACTTCCCCTTCCCGCAGTCTTCGCTCTCCTGCTTGTTTGGGGGCACTGAGGACAAAGTCTGGGAAGAAAGCCGTCGGGTCGAGCTGGGCTTGGGGCGGGAAGTGTCCCCGGCCATATTTTTTCAAAAAGTGGAGTAACTTTCCGTCTTGGAAAGTGGCTCTGATGGCACGTTATCAAGGCTATTAACAGATTCTTCTTAGCCTAGTAGCTGCTGTGCTTTCATGCTTTGGATACCGGATATCTTTATGTAGCACCCTTATGTTCGTATTTTTTTAAATGAAGGAAAGATTCAATAATATGAGTAATACAGAAACATGAGTTATGAGGTTGGAAATTCGTTCCCCTGACAGTCATGTTGCATAACATTGCAGCGCCTTTAGTCGTGAGTTACATATGCTTAAACTTTTAAAGTGATTGTTCTCACGTTTCTAGCTTCATAATGATCTTGTCTTCATCATATTCTCTTTGAGACTCTGACTTTGCTTTAAAACTAAACAAAAACCTCTTGCTTTTAGGCGTTCTTACCCAACAAATAACATGTTTGAAATCCCTTATATTACGTTCTCCCACTATGACCTCATTCCAGTAATACCTTTGGGAGTTGCATTGCCTAATGGCACAATATTGCTTTAATAAATATGTGATGAAAGACAGGGCCAAATATTTAAGTGTGGGGAGAAACACATTTCAGAGCAGGAATCCACATTTGAAAGTTAACGCTAGTAATCATCTTCTGCCCTTAGCTGACACCCCCATTTATTTCATCCTTCTCAGCAAATTTCATCCTGGCCCAGAGGCTCCACAAAAGATCCCAGTACAGATTTCACAACTTTGGATTCATCTTTCCTCTGAGTCAGAATTGAAGTCTTCCCCCAAAATATATGTATATATTGTATGTCTTCATCCCTTGGTAGCAGCTGGTCCATTTTCCCACGTGGACTTAAATTTTGTCCGCAGTATTTATTGAACATCTCTCTGTGCCAGGCCCTGTA